ACATTACTGTCAAACCCATTTTAGGTCATGGATCACATATAACATAACCTGATCTCCAGTGGGGCTGACCTGTGAAACTGCTGGATTATTAAGTAGCTGCGAATTGTTCATTGTTCAAGTGTGAATGAGAACAAGTGTATTCTGAATTAATTTAGACAACGTGATAAAATGCCTGAGGTGTCTTGAGGAAAAAGAAATAGTCAAGTATGTCTCAGTTTCAGTTTTCCACATTCAGTCTGTCTGTCATTACAGAACTATGCTGCTGTCCTAAATCAAAGAAACACATCAGCACAGCTTTGCCGAAGCAACCTGCTTCAGTGTGGTATGGCAGGCTTTGGGTAATGTCTTTGTCATGAAGACCCTAAATTGAATTGAATTATATTATCAGTTCGAACAACCATTAATATCTCTTGTAACCACATAATGCTTTCTGATGTAAAAATGTAGAAAAAATAGACCCTCTATCTTTGCTTTTTACAGTTTCCAAAGCTATGTAGTGACACAAATTGGATCACTCTTCTTTCAATGACTCCCTTTAGGAGTCACCACACCAGATCTGCTGCCTCCATCTCACCCCATCCCTAGTGTCCTCCTCTCTCTCCTCATTCACTACACCCATGAATATTGTCTGTGGTCTTCCTCTTCCTCCTGTCTGGCAGCTCCATAGTCAAAATCCTTTCCCCAGTATATCTACTATCCTTCCTCTGCAAAACAAACAATCTTACTAACTTCATTTTTGAACAACTTAACCTGGCCATCCCTCTATACTTATTTCTAATCCCGTCCATTCTGGTTGATCACACTGAAAATCAACTCTGCCACCTCCAGCATGGCCTCCTGTTTCTTTGTTAATGCCATCGTCTCCAAATCATACATCCTAGCAGGTCTCACTACCATCTTGTGAACCTTTGCTTTAATTCTTGCTGCCATCCTTCTGTCACAAATCACCCCTGGCACTCATCTCCACCCTGCCTTTCACCTCTCTCTAACACTGTCCATTGCTTTAAATGGTTTGCCCCCGGTATTTAAACTCATCTAACTTCACTACCTCTACCCCTTGCAGTTTCAATGATACACCTTTCTCCCTCTCATTCACACATAAAACTGTATTCTGTTTTGCTTCAACAGACTTTCATTCCTTTTCTCTCCAGAGCATACCTCCACATTTCCAGGGTCTCTTCCACCTGCTCCATACTCTCATTTTAAGTCACAATGTCATCTTCAAACATCATTGTTTTTATTTACTCAGTGGAGGTGGCAGCACTTTCAGTCTTTCTTTGTTTTAGCTACTAAACCAACAGAGTAAAGAGTGGTATCAATGTTCTCATTCAACTCTAACAAGGCAATCAATGCATTTAACTCTACGTCTGTATCCCAATGCTTATTGCAATTTACCTCAAAAGCTAATCTGCACCAATAACCAACTAAAACTTGCAGCTGCAGTTGCAGTAACACAAGGACACAGCTGACTCTGCTCCTATTACAGCCTATCATAAAGTTAAAGTATATCATGATGTACAATAGAGTAGGCATTGTTTAACAGAGTCACAGGCAGCTTAACTGAAATGACAAATATCCCCACACAACTGCTGATGCTTCAAGGTCACAGTCAGCTGTACTATAAATGGTAGTGGTTTTCCTGCCAGACAAGGAGAAACCCCCTGAATGTAGCTATGATCTACGTCATCTTTCTGTTACTGTTGCTGCTGATCTTCCTGGCTAAAAGCGGGGTTTTTAATATAAACATATGAGATCAAAGCAAAAAAAAATAAAAAATCTCCCAAAACTCCAGATTATAAACAATGCGTGATTAATGTTGTGCATTAAATGGGCATTTCACAAAAGGATCTCCATAATGAGGCTGGTTGTCCGTGAAGTTTTGTTTCTTATTAATCATTGTCTTTAATTAAACCTCAGTAGCACAAAGAGATCTCAATCACTGAGGTTTAAGCAGCTTTTCAATTCAGGAGCCATTAAAAGTCGCACCGCTTGACTGGTTTATATATCAGCTGAGGCTGAATAAAACTGTGTCACTGTGAGCTCAGGAGGTCTTTCGGGTTTTTTGTTTTGTTTTGTGGTTTTTTTTAATGGCATCTCTACAATATTTCTGATGGGATTTCAAGTCCAATAAACGTGTGGTGAGAAATTTAGGTGGCCCAAAGTATAATCTGTCCTTTATTTTTATTTATTTATTTTAGGTAAGAGTTGATGAACTGTGTGATTTTAAAACTCTTTGGTGTGAAGACGTGCATATTTTCTCTGCATTGATATTCAGTCACCCTGGAGCGAGCCTGTCTGCTGGAGCTGTCTACTTAATGGGAGCGGGTGGGTGTGGCAGAGAACTAACTGGCAATAACTACACCACGGGTCTGACTCGATGTCTCCATCTAGTGATCAAATGAAGCTTATCATGGGGAGGTACATTAAAAAAAATCAATAACAGCAATTATGACCACCTTTAAAAAAGAATAAACGTTTTTGAATCGCGTATTGTTAGATTGCAGTTGAATGATTTTAAGTAATATCTGCTGCAGTCACTTTGGGGGTTTCCTATTGAGCATCTAGCTAAGTGATATATATTGATCTTCATTAAAAAAAAAAAAAGCTATGTACAGTTACAGCACAGTTGCTCTAATATGCACAAAAGGATAGAAATCTTAACCCTGAATTTTGATCTTTATAAATCACATTATTTCTGCTTTAGCTTGTAATGTATAATGGCTTATATTTTGCAAACCACTCATGCATGCCTCCCTTAATTCTCTTTTGTTGCTTTTGCTTTTTGTGCTACTAAAAGAAAGAAACTGATACCTCAAGAGGAAGTGAAATTACAAACTCAAAACAGTGAAAATAAATACGAGGTTTTGTTTTTTTTAGCAGATAACTGAGCCCATGTATCATCTTGGCAAAAGGCTGCCATCATGTGTTAAAAAGTAGCATTATTACCTAATAGCAATCCACTGTTAAGCCCACAATAAATGCATAATGTATGCTTTCTGGCCACTTTGTCCACCTGTTCAGCTACTCATTGATGGAAATATGTAATCGGCCTTTTAAGGACATAGACATGTTCAGAAAAGCCTGATGGCGTTTAAACTGAGGATCAGAATGAGGAAGAAAGGTGATTAGAGTGACTTTGAATGTGGCATACAGTTTCAATTTCACTCTATTTTAGAAACAACTGAGCCACTGGGATCATTCCACACAATCATGTCTAGGGATTACAGAGAATGGTGCGACAATTGTTACATAGATTAAATTGTTATAAAGTGGGTTATATGGGTTTAAAATGGTTTAATGACTCCAACAAACCAAACTAAACACTTAAATGTAATTTTAGGATTAATGTTTCGTCAACTTATGACTCGTTTTAAACACAGGCTTGTTTTATTTTTATTTTTTAAAGGTAAATACTCATCACAATAACACATAATTCCATCATCAAGTTGATTTATTTGACAGACCAAACATGATTCATTACAGTCCATCAAAAAGTTGACCATGCAACAATTCTGTCATCACATCCATATATTTTTAAATCACTCTCCAAAAATACAAACACAAATGACTCTTCTCAGTGGTCATATATTATCAATATTATTATGCACAAAATATAAAACTAGCATCCATCTTTGAAATCGATATACTGCTGATGCAGTATTACTTCTCTTGCATGTATATTTATATACACAAAATTAGTGACTATGCAACACATAGTCGCCTTAAACCTCTCGCCATGATATTGCATAATAAATATGAACCGACTTCTAAGACTTAGTTTGAATTAGACAGATGTGCTGGCAGCGAGAAAAAAAAAAAGACTCAGTTAAGACACAATAAATAACCCTTCAATGTGTTTGTGCATACAAGAGCATGAAATAAAGAAACAAAAATGGTCAAGGGCATGAAACATGACCTCCTTGAAGGCCTTCTGTGTGTCTGTGTAGGTGCACTCGCATGTGATTGAGATTATGTCATTAACAGAAAAGTCTCCTCAGGGACCCTGAGATAGCCCATGTAGCCAGCAAACAGCCCGTCTGTCCACAACACTGTACAGTACTTGTAGAGTTAAAATGGGCAAAACCAGCCAACCCCACAAGAGTTTGGCTCTTTAAGTATCTCTCAGTCAGGCTAACTGCTTTGTTAAAACATCTCAAGCAGGAAAGGGTTGCAATCTGTTACTTCCATGAAACACTGCCAAAGTAAAAAAGTAAAACCTGTGTAGTTAAATCATTGTTTAGTAGGTTATATTGTTCATGTAGTTTTTTCTCCAGAGTCCCCACTAATTTATTTTAATTTTGCCAGCATGAAAATAAAATAAAATGACAGCAGCACAGCTGATCATTTAGTGCACAAAAATCTTGCACTTTTTTCCCTTTTCACTTCTAACCAATTATCAACATCTAGAACTCTGGATACACCGGACAAAACATTGGGATACAAACTGTATTTTACATAGCTACTGTATATGTTGGCCTGTGAGATGGCAGCTGATTTGTCAACTCTGTTTGAAAGAAGTAGTCTACCTTTTATTTCCACCAATGGACTGGAGAATGTTATTTTTAAGATGTACTCTTAGAAAAGCTCTTGACTTGTTTGATTTTTGTGTTTTGTTTAGTTTTTTTTCAGGCATCTTGTTAAGTTAGAGGCCTGACTCACCTTCCTTGAGCAATGACGTCTGTTTCACACTACAACAGCCATCAGAAAGCGATGACGCAAATGACATCCACTCTGTGCTTCACACTTCATTCATCAGCCTGCTATCAGGCTCAGCTCCTGTTGGGGCAGCCTAACACTGCTTCAGGGGAGCAGTGACACTGCCTTCATATAATCTGTACAAAATTGCTTTGTCATCTCCTTTCCTTTATTTATTCTCTTCGACTCTGAATTATTTGCTTTCTGCTTAGCTTTTCGCTCGTCTGCTTTGGTTCCTGCTTTCTCTTTCTGTCACCTCTTTCCCCTCACTGAGCTGCTTCCCTCAGTGTTGCAAGAGGAAGTTTGTTGCCATATTAATGTCATTATTTGAAGCTCTGAGCGCCTCGAGGGCATCGATCCTGGAAAAGCCCATTTCCACTAAACGTGCAACCTGTAGGACACAAGATAAAACCAGCTCAAACTTAAGCACAGAAACACACACATACAGGAACACTGAAGTAAACGTCTACCTGTTCTTCTGCTACAGGGGAGTTGTCCAGAAAAGGTGGCTGTGTGGATTGGTGGGCTTGAGGCTGAGGACGGGGCTGCACCGGGACGCGGTTCTGTCCTCTGTGTCTCAGTGAAGGGAATAACCTTGTCCACTGTAGCAACCCGCTCTGCACAAATACACAGACAAAAGCAGTATCTAATACTTTGTAATACTAATCACTTCCATCTAGACAAGAACCAATTGAATACCAATATCAGATATCTGTCAGATACTCTGATAGCTCAGTGATTGTATAGCATACATCCTTAATGACTTAAAAAATGTTCCTCTTCTCATGTTTTCTGACTCTTTTTCACTAGCTCTGCATTTGGCTAAGTTCAGTGTCACTACTGGTAGCATGAGTTGATATCTGGACCCTACAGACGCTACACAGGAACTTTAATAACTTCAAATTTGTGCAACTACCTACCTAAATGATCATGGTTAAATGTCTGACTACAACCGTAACTGTAAGCATGCTTCCCTCTTTCTTTCATTGCTGTATCGCATACTGTCATGTGGCCTTAGAAGCAAAATCAATATCTGAGAAACTGGGTGGTCTATGCATAGGTTCAGTTTTAAGTCTTTGTGTGCATCTACCTGTGGCTGTTGTCTGGCATTCGTCCTGGCCTCGTTGTACTCGGCCAGTAGCAGCTGTTGGTCGAGCAGCTCCATCCTCTGCTGCCTCTGAACGTCAAGAGTGGCACCCATCCCCAGAGGTGTCTCGCTGGTAGGTTGGGAGCCTTGACAAACACAGATATAAACAACAGATTCGTCTTAAAAATATCATAACATATCTATACACGAGTGGATAAGTGCTATGAAGGATCATTTAGCACAAATTCAGTTTTTCTAAGAGGTTCCAGGACCTCATATCCTATATAGTGGTGAACAAACTAGATTACTATTATCATGTTTCACTTCAGTCAGGGAACAATAGTTCAGTTAGGGAATTTGACATTGTTAAGCACTGACTATTTTGAGGCTGATAAGCACTCTAAAAGGCTTAAAAATCAGTGAGCGGGACATTAGGGATTAGAGAGGAAGAGCTACTTAAAACAGAACATTAAAAAGGTAAGTAATCTATCGAGGAAATGTTTTAAGAGGTAAAAGTAATCTGCACATTAACATAAAAAGCTCATTTTTGGTTTAACTCCATCTGTTCACACATTATTTAATAAAACTTAATCTATGAGTTCATAGATTGGTGAGCTGACGACAATATCCCATCAGCCTTTTATAGCTGAGAGGTAAAAATCTTTTTAACCAGCAGTTAAAAAGATTAGCCAACAGTGACAGCGGTACATCTTATCATTTTAAGTCACTCTGTGTCACAGCACTAGTCAAATGCCTAAAAGGTATGTATATTATTATTATCATTAAGTCAGGCAGAAAGAGAAAACAACCCCACGTCAGGCTCTGCAACTCTCGTCCTTGTAAAAGGGATTTAGACAGGATTTGTGTTTGTTATTACGAAAGGATGGACTCACTTGAAAAGACTGGCTCCAGAATATATTGTCCAATACGAGACACCCAGATGGGGACAAACAGGATCTTCTGTAACCGTAGGACACTGGAGTGGTACAGTCCACCTGAGATCTGAAAGGCATATTTATAAAAGCACATGTGGACATAATACAGAAATAGCAATCTTTACTGAATAAAGATTAAATTACACAGTAGAAAGTAAGGAACAATATTAAGTGCTTCCACAGATATAAACTAGTATAGGGCAGTAAGTAAAGCTCGAGTTAAAAAAATAAAAATAAAAATAAAAATGTGCCTCTCCAATAAATCCTTTGTTTATTTTCCTCAGTTGCTTTAGTGATAAGATGTCAAAGTCTATGATCATGTCTTCAAAAGCTTTGCTTGGTCTAATCAGCTTTCCAAATCTTAAAACCCTGTAATGTGAAAAAGACAGTCACCTCCCCTTTTTTTATTCCAAGGATTTAGGCATAAAGAAAATCATAATAATACAGCCTGAGATGAAGAACGTGTGTCATATTACACCTAATCATTATTTATTTAACAAAACTTAAGCCAAAATGGAGAACCAGTGTCTGAAAAAAATAATCCCATATCATGATTCAATAGCTCAGGCTCTCACTTCCTTGCAGAGGATTTCTGGGCAGCTCTTCTTTACAATGATTCTTCAGTCCATCGAGGTTTGTGAGTATTCTCTCCAAGATCCTGCCACAGCATTTCAATTAAGTTGAGATCTGGATTTTAACTGGACCATTGCAACCCCTTGATTTTTTTCTTTTTCAGCCAATTTGTTGGTGATTGCTGGGAACACTCTCTTGTTGCCTGACACAGTTAGCTAAGCTAAGTTTTAGCAGTTGGACAGATAGCTTCACACTTGACTCTAGAATACTTTGGTATACAGAAGACTTGATGGT